TTTGTCATTTGTATGCAAAAAACATTTATTGACTGTCTCCTATTTCTCTGGCATTGCCTTAGGCACTTTCACAGATATTTCATCCTAATCCTCACAACAGCCCTGCGAGGTAGGAATTGGTCCCATTTTACAGAGGTCTTTCTGAGTGGGAGATTATTGCTTGATACTTCTATTTGCCACATGTTTATATTGGCTAGAGGTTCTTACTGGCTGGCGAGTCTCTGGTCAAGAGCTCTCATTAGCCAGGAACTCCTAATTGTTACTCTAAGATTTAAATAATCAAAATGATAGCGGCCAGGTGTGGTGGCTCATATCTTTAATCCTAGCAGTGTGGGAGGCCAAGGCTGGTAGACTTGTTTGAGCTCAGGAGTTCAAGACAAGCGTAAGCAAGAGTGAGACCCTGTCTCTACTAAATATAGAAAAACTAGCCAGGTGTTGTGGTAGGCACTGTCGTCCCAGCTACTCAGGAGGCTGAGGCAAGAGGATCACTTCAACCCAAAGTTGAGGTTGCTGTGAACTATGATGCCATGATACTCTACCTAGGGTGACAAAGTGAGACTCTGTCAAAAAAAAAAAGAAATGAGAGGACTTTCCCCCACAGGAGTAGGAAGGAGAGTCATTGTGTCTCTCCCTTTGAAGCACCATCTGAGTTTGCATTGGTAGTGACAGGTGGATAAGATGGGGGCGGGGGGTAAGTGTAGGAAACAGTGGTTATAAATCTTCTCGCTTCTGTAGGATGAGCTTCCTCACCAGTGCTGTGATCTGGGGCTTGATCTCATCCACTGACACAGTGGGGTCCCAAGCCCCTACCACCTTTCCATCTGGGGCCACCAGATACTTCCAGAAGTTCCAGGTGGGCTCCTTCCCAGAAGTCTCTAGAAAGAAGGAAGAATGAGAACAAAGTGTGCTTCCCTGTGTCTCTTCTCCTGGAATTCCATTACCAGTGTCCATCCTTCCCTTGAGGCAGTGTAATCCTGATGTCTAATCCACACCCCAGATCACTTGAGTCAGAATCTCTCAGGCTAAAACTGAGGCATCAGTATCTTTCAAAAGCTCTCCAGGACTGTATCCCTAGCATTCTGGGAGGCTGAGGCAGGTGGATAGCTTGAGCTCAGGAGTTCAAAACCAGCCTAAGCAAGACCCTGTCTCTAAAAAAATAGCCAGACATTGTGGCAGATGCCTACAGTCCCAGCTACTTAGGAGACTGAGGCAAGAGAATCACTTGAACCCAAAGTTGAGGTTGCTGTGAGCTATGATGCCATGATACTCTACCTAGGGTGACAAAGTGAGACTGTCACACAAAAAAAAAGCTCTCCAGGAGATTTTAATGTGGGGCCAAGATTGAGAATGACTGCTTTAGGATTCTGTGAAGTGTTTGATGAAGCAGTATCAAATTATTCTTTATTTATAACCTCAGACTACTCAACAGGCTATACCCTATTTTCTGATTAAATCTTAATGGTTTCCAAATGTTAGTCCATGAACTGGTTGCATCAGAATCACTAGCAGGGGAGGGGGACTGCTTAAAATAAACAGATTCTTGGGCCCTGCTTCAGTAGGTCTTAGGCTTATGCATTTTTTAGAGCTCTCCAGGTGCTTCTAAAGCAAGGCCAGGTTTGATCTATAACTACAGGAACTGAGAAGGAACTAATAAAAGCACACAGGAAAGAAGTAAACATAGGATTGACCCACAGAGCAAAACACAGACTTGCCTCCATGAGGGACCTTTGGTTTGGTTTCTCTTGTTTCTCGTTTAGCCCTCCAGCTAAGTAGGTTGCAGGGTGGGCGTCAGGGTGGTGGTGAGGACCCCAAAGGTAACTAAAAGTAGGGAGTGAGGACAAATGGAGCCTCCAAAGGAGGAAGACGGCCTGAGGTAGAAACGACCCTAATGACAGGCATAGTCCATGACCCATTTTGTGGCTCTAAGGCTTCTGGGGCTAGAGAAGGGATCTAGTTCTCAAATGTAGTAGAACGCCAGTGGTTTTCAACCTGTGGGTCATGACCCCTTTTAACTGTATTAAAGGTTCGCGGTGTTAAGAAGGTTGAGAACCACTGGTAGAAACTCCATAGCTGACCACCTGTCTACATTAATCATCCCCTTAAGTTGACCTAGTTTTCATAGACCAGACATGCACCACATGTACTGTCAGTACAATAGGCCTAGTTCCTTATGTTGACCAGTTTGTTATAGTCCTTTGGGTGGTCAACTTACAGAGGTACTATTGTATTAAGATCTGGTATGTCCTTTAGCCCCAGCTACTTGGGAGGCTGAGGCAAGAGAACCGCCTAAGCCTGGGGGTTGGAGGTTGCTGTGAGCTGTGATGTCACAGTACTCTACTGAAGGCGATAAAGTGAGACTCTGTCTCTTAAAAAAAAAAAAAGATCTAGTATGTTAGCTCAGACAATTTTCCTCTGATGGCCTCTGACTCAGGGCAGGAGATGCCTGACTCAGCCTTCTCCAGGCACTGTGGAGTCCCCTGTCTGCGCAGTGATTGCTCCATCATAAAGCCAAAAAACCAAACGAATTAAAACCAACAAAAACTGGGGGCCCAGTCTCCTTCTAGGTGCCTCTGAATATGGAAACAGCTTCCCAGAGAAGTCTGCAGGAATACTTCCGAAGGAGAACTTCAAGGGAGCAGTTGTGGAGATACTGTTAGGCAAGAATACCCCTTAGGAGCCCCTGTTCCCATTATCCTTACAGACCTTGCTGGAACAAAACAGCAGTCCACCTGAGAGGGTCAGGAAGGGGAAGGGCTCCAGTCACCCAGCCAGCCAGTGGCTCCTGCTGCCAGGGAACCATGGCCTCAGCCAACTGAGAGAAGGTGAGGAGATGTAGGGACCAGAACTCACGTGTCAAGTACTTGAAGGCAGGGTGGGCACCAGTGCCAGTGACTGCGATCTTACTAAACATGGGGAAGGAGACACTGTAGGTGCGGCGGGCAAAGCTCTCGATCTCCTTGTTGCTGTCAGGCTCCTGCTGGCCAAACTGGTTGCAGGGGAAGGCAAGCACGTTGAAGTGGTGGGGACCCAGGTCCCGCTGCAGCTGCTGCAGGGCTTGGTAGTGCTGGTCTGTGAAGCCACACTGACTAGCTACGTTCACCACCAGGGACACCTGCATGACCAAAACAAAACCACATCGACACATACGGGACTCAGTGAGGACTCATGCATGCACTTGCACATGCACTGACATGCCCCCATATGTGACTCCCTCAAAAATAAATGTACTCTCACATACACAGGAACTTTCTGTCCATATATATGTGTGTGTTATGCTCTCATATATACACAAACACATGCATGTGTGAAACAAACACTGAGGGACTTACAAATGCGTGCACACACACATGAACATGTGTGAACAAAAGTACACAATACACATAAATGGGTATGCACCTGCCCTTGACACAAACATACATTAGCAGATATCATACGTGCCCACAAAGATAGCACATTAATAGAGAGAGGCATACACAATGGTGACCACAAATTGGAAAGAGATTAGGGGAAGTGGAAAGGCAGACCTGGGCTTAATTTTTGGCTCAGAAAGCACTCATCACTTCCCACTCCACACGCCTGTGAATGCATCAGTCTCCCTTCTAGAACACGAACCTATTGAGGAGAGGAGCTATGCCCATTTCGTCCCTGGGTGTGGCATAAGGAAAAGTTTTTGTAAGTGTCAGCTTAACGAGTAGCTGTGCACACATCCACAATATTATAGACACCTGCATGAGTATGTGGACACACACAAATTTTCTGAATAAAAAGATGCCTAGGACCCCAGGGCAATCCCATTTTGTCCCACTCCTCTCCAGCAAACAAATACCACTTTCATTGATCCCTAGATGAATCTTTTGATTTATTAAAGACTTTAGGCAATAAATATCAAGCTGACTGATGAAACTTGATTATAATAATACTGCAATTAGAATTCTGACACCAATACTATGTTTTTAGCTTCTAGCTATATATTATTAAAGGATTTATTTGTTTGCTTGTTTCTTTTTGAGACAGAGTCTCACTATGTTGTCCTCAACAGAGGGTCGTGGTGTCATAGCTCATAGCAACCTTAAACTTTTGGGCTCAAGTGATCCTCTTGCCTCAGTCTCCTGTGTAACTGGGACTGTAGGCATGCACCACAGTGCTCAGGCTGGTCGTGAACTCCTGAACTCAGGCAGTCCATCTGCCTTGGCAGTGGCCTCAGCATTATTTACATTTAGAACTTGATAGTTCTTAGTTGTTGGGGGAGCTATCCTGTTCATGCATTGCAGATGTCAGGCAGCATCCTTGGCCCTTACTCACTAGATGTCTAGTCTTGATAATCAAAAATGCCTTCATGGCTCAGAGCCTGTGGCTCAAGTGGCTAAGGTGCCAGCCACATACACCTAAGGTGGTGGGTTTGAATCCAGCCCAGGCGCGCCAAACAACAATGACGGCTGCAACCAAAAAATAGCCAGGCGTTGTGGCAGGCGCCTGTAGTCCCAGCTACTTGGGAGGCTGAGGCAGGAGACTCAATTAAGCCCAGGAGTTGGAGGACCCAGGTTCTGGGCTAATTAGAACAATCCCCTCAATTTAAGGTTAGTATAAACTATAATCTGCCTGGGGTGGTAAGAAACTGGGACTACCCCCCCAGTCAGGAATCTTCCTCTGTCTTCCCTACTGGCTCCTTGTGCAATGACAACATTAAAACTTGCTTATGTTTAACCCACATCTTGTGTGTCTGCCCACTCTTTTGGAAAGGGGAAAAATCATGCATCTAGTTCCATCCCTGAAACCAAAATACGTGGTCCTTAGAGACCAAAACATAGACAGACACACCCAAATACACACAGATAATTTACATATATAAGTATACAGGCACAGGGCGGTGCCTGTAGCTCAGTGGGTAGGGCGCCAGTGCCATATACCAAGGGTGGTGGATTCAAACCCCACCCCAGCCAAACTGCAACAAAAAAATAGCCGGGCGTTGAGGTAGGCACCTGTAGTCCCAGCTAATTGGGAGGCTGAGGCAAGGGAATCACCTAAGCCCAGGAGTTGGAGGTTGCTGTGAGCTGTGTGACACCACGGTACTCTACCTTGGGCGATAAAGTGAAACTCTGTCTCTATAAAAATAATAATAATAAATAAATATACAGGCACAGACACAAATGCAGATTTGTACTCATACACAGAAGTAAGCAAACAGACCGTTCACACACACACAGACACACATGTACACACTACATTCAGGCCTCCAGGTACATGACCCCACATGGTAGGCAAGCACATTCCAAGTGATCACCTATTCATCCATCCTCTACACTAGTATAAATGATTGTTGTCTCAGTTAGCTTGGGGGGCAGAAACTGTGTCAGTCTTGCTCATGGCTATGTCACTATGGCTGGCATATAGTAGGAGCCAGGAAATGTTTGCAAGTGAATAAATGAGCATACGGCCCGAGCAGAAGGCCTAGCTTGGGTTAGTGGACAGCACTGTTTACAGCTTCCTTGGACTGTTTCCATCTAATCTTGGCAAGTAAGGGCATGGACTCTGGAGCTGGACTGCTTGGGTTCAAATTCTAACTATATTTCTTAGTAGCTAGTATGTGACCTGGTTCTATTTTTGACTTAACACATATTACTACTAAGAATTATCTTGTTTATTTCTCAGTTCCTTATTATCTCTTACCTCCCCACCCCATATAAGCTCTATTAAAGTGGAAATATTGAGTGGCGCTTGTGGCTCAGTGGGTAGGGTGCCGGCCCCATATACGGAGGGTAGTGGGTTCAAACCTGGCCTGGGCCAAACTGCAACAACAAAAAAAATAGCCGGGTGTTGTGGCAGGTTGTAGTCCCAGCTATTCAGGAGGCTGAGACAAGAGAATCCCCTAAGCCCAAAAGCTGGAGGTTGCTATGAGCTGTGATGCCACAGCATTCTACCAAAGGTGATAAAGTAAGACTCTGTCTCTTAAAATAAATAAATAAATAAAGTGGAAATATCTTTTTTTTTTTTTTTTTTAGAGACAGAGTCTTGCTTTGTTGCCCTTGGTAGAGTGCTGTGGCATCACAGCTCACAGCAACCTCCAGCTCCTGGGCTTAGGCTATTCTCTTGCCTCAGCCTCCCAAGAAGCTGGGACAACAGGCGCTCGCCACAATGCCTGGCTATTATTTTGTTGCAGTTTGGCCGGGACCGGGTTTGAACCTGCTACCCTTGGTATATGGGGTTGGTGCCCTACTCACTGAGTCACAGGCGCCGCCCGGAAATAACTATTTTTTCACCACTGTATCCTCAGGGCCTGGCCTAGTATTTAGTACACAGTAGGTACTCAATAATAAATAACAAATTAATGAATATCAGGTGTTAACTCTGGTGAGCTCTCTGGTGAGCTGTGCTAGAGAGAAGGGAAAGCCTGAATGGGAATGGGCCCTGTTCTTGTTTTTTGTCCTGAGTTCTCGATGAAGTTTCTGCTGGGCTCTGCCAAATACAGGTACAGAGCACTCTACAGTTTACCAAGTGCTTTTATGCAATCATTGCATTTGAAACTCACAGCACACTGAGGGACAATCAGGACAGGAATTACTGCCCCCATGACTCCCATCCAAATTTGAGAATTTCAAGGCTTATCTCTCCTAATGGTATTACTAAAAAGAAAATAAAAATGAAGAATTTCAAGGCTTATAGAGTATTTTCTTTTCTTTTTTGAGTCAGAGTCTCCAGCTGTCGTCCTGGGTAAAGTGCTGTGCTGTCATAGCTCACAGCAACTTCAAACTCCTGGGCCTAAGGGATTCTCTTGCCTCAGCCTCCCAAGTAGCTGGGGCTATAGGCGCCCACCACAATGCCTGGCTATATTTTGGCCCAGACTGAATTCGAACCTGCCAGCTCTGGTGTATGTGGCTGGCGCCCTAGCCGCCTGAGCTACAGGCGCAGAGCTGGCTTATAGAGTATTTTCTTCCCTAGAGATGGCCTTGTTTTCCAGGAGAATGTTGACAGCCATTTTTATGTGGTTCAACCAAATCTGGATGCCCTGGCCCTTCCCACACCAGAGTCCCCAGGTCCATCCTGATGTGGAAGGTTATTCATTACACACAACAGTATGTGTGGTCCTCTCAATGTAGTGTTGGCTGTCTCTTCTGGTCCCTCCCTGATCCCCGCGGCCTCCTCTCCTCCCACTCTCAGCCTCTGATTTCATACTCCTTCAAGCACAACTGCTTGCAGTTTGCTTCCCGTCTCTTGCCCACCACTGCTCTTGCTGTTTGGTTCTTAGTCTTGGTAAAATCTAGGTTTATTTCAAAGACTCACCCATACATAAATCCTCTCTAAGCTTAGATTCTTTCTTGGTAAGGAGCCTGGATGACACTTACATCTCATCCTGAGCTGCCTGCCATCTAAGAGAGTGCCTAGAGAGGACCCCAGATGGAAGGGAGTCGGGGTTCTCTTCCAGGCTCTGTCGCTTTCTAGTGCAGTGTGGCTTTCTGCTAATGCCTTCCCTCTAGCCTTAGTGTCCTCTCCAAAGGATGATCTGAGTAAGGTTCCCAGGCAGCTAAAATGATGATTCCCTCTGCACTGCACATTCATTTCCACACCGTTCTCAGATGGACCCCGTATCAGCAACTCCCCCTGTTCCAGATGCGGAAACTGGGAATTGGAGAGAGAAAGGCCGCACGATGCTGCGGTTACTTTTCCCACCCATGAATGGCAAAAGCTGGGCCAGGTCATCTAACCTGGGTTGAGATCTGGACTCTGCTGACTAAAAGTGC